TGAATAACCATAGTTCAATCTTGATTTACATTGAACGTAAGAGCTGTAATGAGAGATGGAACTCTCCTCGGGTACAAGAATGAGTCACCGAATAAAAATGATCTCAATGAATATTTAACATGGAATGTTTTTGACGTATCATATAAAAGCTGGAGCTGTATGTACCAGCTGAAACTGTATGTTCGTATGTTGGGTACAATTCCCCAAGTCCGCAGATAAATAATTAAAGAACTATTAGAGAAAACAAAACCTTATAAAAATTGGCCCACGGTTATAGCATTTGTCGCTATCTACACATTCCTGATAGGTTCATTTTATAATGTTTCACGAATATTCGAAACAGTACCATACATTTCTAGATTCAAATATATACGATGTATTTAAATTCGTTAATTCCACAACAAGAGGCTTATTTTTTTTATTTTTTAAATACTGCACGATGAATATCAGTGAAAAAAATCACGCGCGGTTCAGTGCCTGCCCTCGCCGCTGTACAGTGACCCCAGGCAGTTCCGCTCCCCCTCGCGCCACGCACTCTCCGTTTCCGGTGGCGCACATCTGCTGCGGCCGGCGCGTTTCCGCTGTCAACGCAGATGACGCGACTGCGTCCGACCGGAGAGCGCTGCCGCGATACACCGACGCGGGCGGCGAGGCGAGACATTGAAAAATACAGATAAATCGTAACTTTGCTAAAAAAAATATATAAATAAAAAAAATTCAAAGCTCTTCTTCAATTACAATTTCTTGCTTGAAGGTTTCGCGAGGTAGCTCATTTGCCAAAGTTGGAGTTTGCGAAATTGTTAACGGATGAGCATGCAGCCCAATTGCATCCCTTGATGAGATTAAACCAAAAATTGCGAACATTTGAAATACCAAGTTTGAATTGATAGCGTGAATAACCATAGTTCAATCTTGATTTACATTGAACGTAACGCGGCGCGGCGCGGCGGCCCCCAATTAAAGGAGATGCAGGGGCGCCAGCGGCCTCGGAAATAAACTCAATGCTGTTTCAAACGAAATGGTTTTGGTTAGGGATGAGGCATTTGCATCCACGTGGTCGAATCCTCGTTCCGTCACGCGAATCCTCGTTACGTCGCGAATCCGTCTTACCTCACGTGAATCCTCTTTACCACACGCGCAACTTCGTTTCGACGCGTAAATCTTCGTTTCGACGAACAAATGTTCATTTCGACACGCAAGTTCTCGTTTCAACACGAGAGTTCGTATTTCGACTCGCGAGTTATCATTCGAAAACAGAGATTTCGAACCTATCGTCTTTTTTTTATTTCAATTAAAATTTGTTTAATCATTTATCTCTAATTTCGAATTTCAGTAGCTTCGCAAGTCTTTGCGCACTACAAGGTCTCAAGTTTCTATCAGTCAATTTGTTTAACTGGAATGTGTATTTCTTGCAAGATTTTTGTTCTCCGGCCACAGTAGCCTTCTCAGGGTCAGTGACGATTCTGAAGGGCTTTCTCAAGGTGCAAATGAGCTACCTCGCGAAACCTTCAAGCAAGAAATTGTAATTGAAGAAGAGCTTTGAATTTTTTTATTTATATATTTTTTTAGCAAAGTTACGATTTATTTGTATTTTTCAATGTCAGTGTGCATGTGAACAATATTTCGAAAGATAATTCTGTATTACATTTCACAATTCTAGTGCGGAAAAATCCGTGAATAACAACAGGTTTCTGTTTGGGCAGTTTTAAATGACTTCTTGCATAATTCTGTGGAATTAAGTGCGCTTTTATTTCGATTTGAAAATGGATGCCTTGAAACTAATACAGCCACTTGGCCACACATTCATACCATAAACTAATATTGGTGAATCAAAGATTTATATGAATTATAAATACACACAAAATTGAAAAATGTTTACATATTCATTACTTTCACTAATTTTATTTTCTTTAATGTCTTTTTCAAAATGTTGTGAAAGGAGAGTTACCTCTCATAAAAAAACGTACAACACGTTTGGTAGTTCACTCACTCCTGACGTATTCCTAGTACCCTCGCTACCTACTTTTAATTTTTTATCAGAAAAAAGAGAATCACAATAGCCGAAAGTCAGTATTGCACGTATGAAGAAAACATCTTTATAAATGAAAGGTAATTAGTGCTGCATCATTAAAACTGGCAGTAATGCCACTTTCCTGTACGCACCAACCCACACGCGTGTCGTCTGCCTAGAAGTGCGGTTCTAAACCCCAAAACTCTCCCCCTTCCCCACCGCGAAGCAGTCGTCTTTAAATAAAACATCAACACGTCACCCGACAGCGTGTTTACATAATCAAAGGCTACCACTCGGCTTACACACGTTGCCGCCCGTCAAAGACAACTAATCAAGCGCTAAGTACATAAGTACACCTCCCACCCTTCCCCGTGCTTCTAACCGGGAGACACCCGCTGGTTTGCCGGGGCGCTGTTCTCTCGCCCACCCGCTGCCAGAATGCGCCACCAGCTTCCACCACAGCCATGGCCTCTGGCGGCCGCGACGAGAATCGCCTTCCGCGCAGTTTACCCCATCTTCGTCCCCAGTGATTGGCAATTAATCAAGCTCTTATTGCTTTCATTCCGCTGTCTGGAATGAAAGAGATGCAATAATAATTTCCTCGGCGGTGCTTCAATTCTAATTACCACTCAAATCTCGGCCGCTTCCTGCGATAAGATTATACAACGGCCTCCGCGCAGTCCTAAAATAGTTTCAGAAGCCACCCCTAGGGAAACAGATGGCGGAGACGTGTACTACGAGGACTATTAACGACCTACGTGAATTAACAGACTGCCTGACGACCTTACAAAGCACATTCTATGTAATGACGCCTCTTTATGGCTGAGATCTACAGCACGCTTTTCTTCTCTGCGTGATGGTAACCTGCAATTAAAACGCAATTTGCGGGGCTAGCGCTTAATTATAACACATAAGGGCCTCCGCCCGTCACTGTTAAGAACATTAGTTTCTTTAATTTCATCAATTTATCACATAGCGTAAATTTCTGCATTTAAATAACAAAGCTCTTTATGTAGATACATGCAACAGTATCATTCCTAGGAAAGCAATACTCAAAACGTTCCTATTGTGATTTATCAAAACACCAAATCACAAACTTCTCACAGTTTCACTCATTATTCTACAAACTCGGAAACTATTCTGAGTTCTTCCTTAAACAGTGTCTGTCTTGCGAAGGTCCATTACGCAGTGTCACAGTGCCTGCATCCTCGAGTTGAAGAGTGTAAGACTTGTGATGAAACTTTTTCTTTTTGTCTTGAAAGTTTCAAGACGAAGAAAGCGAAAATTTAAATACTTAATGGCATCTATGTTTTTTGTCATTTATATACATGTGGTTTGAAAGTTTGTTGATTTATTATTGGTACATAATATTCATCTCTGAACTAAATACTAATGTTTATTTTAATAGTGTATATAAAAACAGAGCGTACGAAAGTAAATGAACGCTTCATTCTAATGTACGGATTAGGACATGGCGTGATGAAAACAATGAAGATGACTACACCTCGTAGATAAATACATCGGTACGTCCTTCAGCGTTCTTAGCGCTTACATACTTCAGAAATTATTTGCAATATAAATTATATTACATAACAAAACATGCTTGAAGAATATTTTTAAATACCTGACGTGTGCGTTCTGGAAGATTCTTCCTTGATTTTCTGGTAACATTGAGCACTTGACTGAACACGAAACTATACCTCTTTCACAAAACCTCTGACGTCTGGAACTGTCTGTCACCGATAATGGAAAACATAGTTTACCTCTTCAATGATAATTGGTAGATGTCGCCACAGTAAAAGCCAAGACGGCGGTTATTTTAAATTTGATACATTTTAGAAGACGAAAAAGAATAAAATACAAACATTTGGAAATTAGATAATTTGCATAAAACAAATATGAGACTGTTAGGAAAGAAAAAGGACTAAAGGAAAATGATTGTGTAGATAGGAATAATTTGAAAATGTAGAACAAATCACTAAAATTTGCAAACATGTTTGAAAATAATATAAAAGAGTAAAAGTATATAAAATTAAGATAAATGGATAGTATAATATCATAAAATGTCAAGTAGTTCAATCGTGTATATTTTAAATAATGTAATCCCGCTTTCTCAGACATCAAAGAACGTTATTCATGAAATGCTCTACTCTTATACGGCACAGCACTTTTATTTATTTTTAATTAATGCACTAAGTAGTGCAAAATAGATTACGCAAACTTTTTCACGTTATTCCTTCATCCGAAAAACGCAATATGCAACAACAATTATATATAACTTCGTGTTCAATTTTTTATCAGTATCGTTTTCGTATAATATTCATGCAGCTCATTGAAGTGACGACTTGCCTTGACGACGAAGTGCCTTCAAATTTTTGAAATGTATCAAAATAATTCCAGAAACGTAATGCAAAGCCAAAAATGAAAGAGGCAATCAGCATATGACCCAAGAATGGATTTAAAAAAGAATCAATTTTTATTTCAACACAAAATATGGAATAATTAACAATGTTCTTGACATTTGAACTGTAGGTCAAAATATAGGAAACTCTTGAAATGTCAATGAATTCTCGAATGAGACACGAAAGCAGGTCATTTTCACTGTCATGCTCTGTTGCTGTTGAGAAATTAAACAAGCCGAAGTGCGTGTTTCTGAAGGTCGCAACGCGCCTTGGGGACACTGACACCCGGGAATGTTAAATGTCACGAAGTACAACCCCTGCCTTAAAAATACTAAACCTACTTTATATCTTACTTTTGTTTCTTAATATTTCTTCTCATTGACCGTTTTTACATTTACTCTTTTTGGAATGAGATCTTCAATATGTATTATTGAGATAATGGAATGTTAGGAAAGGTAAATGAGTTAATATTGGATATTGTAGGAAGTGTGTTTAAGAGTTGTCTTCGGCAATTAATTAATAACAATAAAATTATATGATAAATTTTATTACAATAATTATTTATTACAATTCTTCACTGCAACATCAATTGAGCAACACTGAAGAACACGAGGCTCAACAGATGTCGCACGGGGACGCGCGATGTATTCATTAGTACTAATTTTGTGACGAATAGTGACGAAATTAAAATTTTGAAATTTTTATTCTGATCATTTGCTCAACGTACAATCTAGTTCTAAAAAACTTTTTTATCACTTCCAAACTAATTTCAACGCCAAAATGTGACTTACTTGCAATTATACTAGAAAGCATCAAGTGATTACGATAATGGAAGTAGTTTTGGTTGTGAGAGCAAGCTGCTAGCGCTAAATTCCCATGATACCACATTATTATAGACAGCTTTAGAAAAACAAATTCTAATATAGAGAATGTGGCAATATTGGAATTTAGCATCATACGCTGACACCATTTTGAAGTACTTCTGTTATCATCTACAAAAAAACGTAGAAAATGCCATTTACGCATCAAATGATTGAGGTTGCCTCTAACGTAAATCACATCGTTTTCCAAAAGCTGGTGCAAAACCTCACAACCCTCCCTCAGATTTACATGCTTTCTGTTGACGAACGATTTCGAGTTTTGCAGAGCGGTGCACGCTCAGAGCGGGTTTCTGGGACAGCGGAGCTCGGACTTCGCACGTCAAAAGGAAGTGTGTAAATTTGGTCTAACAGAGGGAGGTATGTGAAAGAAGACGCACAAGTGCGTGTTTGGAGCATCGCAACGTCCCCGGCGGCGGCGGCGGCGGCGGCGGCGGTGGCGCTCAGCGGCGGCGGCGGCGGGCGGCAGCCACCTCGGGGGCTGCGGTGGGGGCGGGGCCGAGGGCGGCGGCTGGCGGCGCAGGGGCGGCGGAGGCGCGACCGCCCTTTCGCAGCAGCCGCGGTGCCGCGTACTTGTCGTAGGCCGTGCTCAGCGCCTTCAGGATGGGCCCCACGTACTCCAGGGACCTGGAATTCAGACTGCCACTGGGCCTCAGGACCTCCGCCGAGCACACGCAAATTGGGCAACCAACACAAGAGTTGAATTTTGAACGAGAGTTGGTTGATATGGAAATATGTAACAGACGAGTACATCTTCTTTTAGGAATAGATACTTTCTTTTGATTGATTGATTTTCCCTAAAGCTGTTTGTAACGTGTGAAGGAGAAGTATAATCTGTGCGCGTTTTCTTGAGTCCAGAATACCTTCCCCACTCTTTTCCTATACGTGGTTGAACAATCAACAAAGCTATCTACAAAGTGTGGTTAGAAACATTTGAAAACTAAAAATGTTCGCTCTGAAGTAATCGAAAACTTATTTATATCGGTAAACAAACTACAGGTTTGATTTTGTAGTATTTCTAAGAAAATAGCAACCCATACTTCGGCTCTACTTATACCGCAACCAGTAAATAAAGTGCTCAACAAAATGTGTGCATTGTAAAGCTATACTTCTTTCTGTTTCTTCTGTAGCTATTAGGAAATTCATGTAGTTAGTTGTAAGTAATTTTTGTAAAATGTTTTGTTTTGCTCATTCAAATTTCAAGATTTTTAGGGGTTGATAATAAGCCATAAAATTGAGTTTATTCGACATTTCCTCACTTACAGGTACATTACAGCCATGCATGCTGTTATTACGAGTCATTGTGTATTCATCACTAAAACGATCATTCGACTATAATCCACACTGCTGAGATGGCATTTTGTTAGTTCGGCAATACCCTCCTATATACTCTACAATAAAATCTAATTGATTTTATTTATGTTTGTATTATAATGAATATACCTGCGCGAACATTCTACACTTTGTAAATCATTGTTTTGAATGTGAAAATAGCTTCATGGCGGCCTTAACCTCGAACGACTAGCGCTTGAACTGTGCCTTGCAGCATTACACGATCAGCCTACGACGGCCAAAATTCTTATATTGCTAATATTTCTATTTAATGTAGTGATTTTCATGTTGTCGTGGGATATTATTTGTCCCTCTTCCTTGAAAGAAGCTTCGCGCGGGCTCACCTGCGCTGGTAGCTGGTGGACGGGTATCCGGCGGAGGCGGCGTTGTTGTAGGCGGCGGCGTTGTAGGCGTCGTAGGCGTGCGGGGAGCCGGCGGGGGCGGCGGGCAGCGGCTGCGAGGCCACGAACACGCCCTGCGGGCCCAGCGGGTCGCAGGTGCCCGTGAGGTAGCAGAGCTTGACGCCGAACAGCGGCAGCAGGATGGCCAGCACGGCCGCCACGCCCAGCACGCCCAGCACCACCGCGCCGGCCGTTACCAGCCCGCTCACGAAGTTGTTGGACAGCGAGAAGTCACCTGCGCGCAGCGTGCCCGCCCCTGCGGGGTGTTACCGTGGCCCGGCACCGCCCACCAGCCACACGCTGGGCCTCGAGCGCGGCCGCCTCGGCTAGTAAAGGCGGCCGTGCTTCGGGGCGTCCGCCACCCTCACGTGATTATGTAATTTTATTCAATTTAATTACCGCACAAGATCTCAACACATCTACGGCAGAAGTTCCATTACGAATATACACGTTTTTGTTTTTGTTTTAAGTTCATAATAAAAAAATATTACTTTGAATATTTTTATGAATGGCCCCAAATGCAATTTTCCACATCCCTAAGATACTTTCTGGACCGCCCCATGCTTGAAGGAGCTGCACTCCCATGAACAGAGAGGACAAGTCGACATCCGGGATTAAAACAAGAATTTAAAGGAATATGTTAAGGTCTGTTATATAGTTATTAATGTTACATTTTATTCAACTCATTTTAAAACAGTTTCATACTTTGATCAACAGTTTATTCTAATTCATTATTGATGTTTCAATGACTATTTTTAAGAATCTCCCGAGTACCGGATCACTAAAAATGAATTAGAATACATTTTCGATCAAAGCACAAAACTTAAATATAATAACCATAAAAACCATAAAAATTACATTAATAACTAAGTAACATCGATTGTGGTTACTACTAAGTACGACATGATGGAAAAGATCATGTCAAGGGCCGAAACGTCAATGCAATATAACTTCAAAATTAAGCACGTAATTGACACATCGTCGATGACCATGAACAGTGAAATGCATAATATTTTAGTAAAATGAGGAAATATGTTTCAAAACCTCAGGGTCTCGAACAGGAAGCATTGTGATACCTTGGAGGTGACTAATACCGATAAGTAAATGTAACTATGTCATTTTATTGAGAGAAGTTTTTTTGTAAGTCGATTCAAAAATTATTTAAATTTTATTATTTTAAATTTGTGAACGAGAGGTTCGAACATACCAAAACATCATTTTCGCCAAGAAAACTTCAGAGAACCTTTTCATTCCAAAGCCGTGAAGTAAATGTATTTACTAGAAAATAATGAATAAGATAGTTCATAAGACGGCATGTATATACAATAAAAACACTTTTTCATTTACCTCGATATGAACAGTTCATCCGATTGGATTAAACCATTTAGCTACAAAATGTATTTTTTTAAATGTGTAAGTTTTATCGCGCGCCTTTGCTAAAAGGTCAGCTTATCTCCTTGGCAAACTTATATTTCTAGAGGAACTAGGAAGCAAAGCTAACGTAGACCTTTAACGCAACATTTATTGAAAACAATACGAAATTACTTTGTATATATTTATAATAAATGTGAAAAGAGCTAGATTTAATTTGTCCGCACTATTACTTTCAAATAAAAATTTTATTTTATTTTTCATCTGCAAGTGCCACGCGATTTGAGTGATGGCATCATATTGACAAATATGATGCCATCACTCATTATACATGACATACGAATGAAATGAGGATAAGAGAATAGGAGGCGAGTCCGGCGTTTTGAAAGGAGTACGTCGAAGTCACTTTCGTAAGAGCTGTGTGAATTATCTTTTAGCACAAATTCATAGAAACTTACAAGAATATAATCTTGGTTCAATTTTCGAGGCAAGGGTCAGCTTGATTTATGTCACCCCAGTGTTTTGTTTACTTTTCAGTTCTCAATTATGTTGCATGACCATGACACAGTATACTCCGTCGGACGCGTTCCGTAAAGCGACACTTTCCGATCAATAAACAGTGAAGGCGGGAGGGCTATGTTCATGTGAAGGTGCGAGTGCGAGCGCGTGGGCCTCACCAGGCAGCTGGATGGCGGAGACTGTGGAGGAGGTGCGGTCCACGGTGTTGGTGTGGGGCTCGTCCAGCGAGTTGTCCTCGGAGGCGGCGGCGGCCGCCAGCGCCACCAGCGAACACAGCAGCAGCGAGCGCAGCATCCTGCACACGCACACACACACACTCAGGCATCGGCGAACCACCGACGCTCCGATTATGTGCGCCAAAAGGATGCAAACCCCACATTTCATTTGCTCAGCAATGAACCCTTCATACCAATTGCATCTTTGCTAGACGATAACTTCTTTAATGAAATGAAACAACCAAAGAGGTAAATCTCTCTACCATTGTTGTTTTATTTACGTATTCTATGTGAAATTATAGTCCTATTGCATAATTGTTAATATAATTATTGGTTGTGAGGTAAGTTATTCATATTCTGGTACATGAATCATCATCATGCATTGGTCTCTAATGATATTGCTCTTCATACGTCCTATAAAGAAAGCAAATAAAAATATAGTTTTAGACCAAAATTAGAGCTATTGTCTTTTTAAAGTTAAATTATATTAAATACAAAATTTATAATAAGAATATACTTTATAGGAGATTATTAACAATGAACAATGAAAAGGATTAGAATAATCAGAAACAATATTACTTTCAATATTGAATAAAAGCATAAATGAACTATTTTGAACTCTCGCTTTATACATGATATTTCATCACCATTTTTCGACTTCCCTAAAAACAAATGTGTTGATTTTCTCTGCTTATTTGTTATTGATTAGAGTCCAAAATTCATTAAATTCTTAATAAATCAATTACTTTCTGTTATACGCATAAAAACAAAATCAGTATCTTCAAAAGTACAGTTTACACTTCAGAACAAAATCAAGACTCATTCATTACTCTTCGGAATTAATTTCAAGTCTTCGATTAACGTAATTCCTCTATTTTTTAAGCAAACATAATTGGGAAAGTTGGGGTAACGAGCTCGCCCAAAAGTCATTTTATTTACCAAAATCCATTTTCTTCTGGTCAACAACTTCCAGTTCTTTACGAAACCTTTTCCGTAGAAACCGAAATTAATAATCTTCGCTGCTAAATAGTAGAATGCTACCTGCTTAATGAAATTCCCTGGAAGGGAAGCAAATGCGATCGAGAAAGTGGGTGCCACCGTCGTCGCGGAAGAGGACGTGACGCTCCCGTCATTCGGGCGCGATGCTAATCACCGCCGCGTGTCACAGGGGCTCGCGCTCACGACAACACGCGGAGGTGGCAAGTGGAGCTCGGGGGCGGGGCAGGTGCAAGAGCGCTAACGCGGGGAAGCGGGCACGCGGGGGGAGGGGGGGGGAGCGGGTCACGGCCGACGAAAGCGCCCGCCGACCTGTCAATGTCACCGCGCGCGCTAAACACAGGGCCGCTCGCCGCGCCTCGACCTCTCCCTCGCCCTCGCGCGCCCGCGGAACACACAAGGCGCAAGACGAGCCCTTCTTCTTCTTACTCATCTTCTTCTTCTTCTTCCTCATCTTCTTCATCGACTTCTTCCTCTTTTCAGTCAGATTCTTGAGCTTCATCTTGTTCTTCATCGCCATCGTCATCTTCTTCTACTTCGACGTTCCCGTCCATTTCAAATTATTCTTGTGCTCCTTCTTTTTCTTCTTATTCTTCGCCGTCGTCTTCTTCTTCTTCGACCTTTCCGCCTTTTTCAAATTCTTCTTCTGCTTCTTTTTTTCTCCTCCTCCTTCTTCTTTGTCGTGTTTTTCTTCGTCGCCGTTTTCTTTTTCTTCTGCTCCTTCTGCTTCTGCTTCTTGAGTGAATCTGGACTAGGACACTCAGCTACAATAATATCTTCATTTGTCTTTATCCGTTGCGTCTCACTTAGCTGATGGTAGTCCCCGCTCCTCTTCAAATCTGTTAGCATTCCAAACCTTTTTCTCCTCCTCCCCCTCTTAACATCTAGTTTGTATTCCATAATACCTTTCAATAAACAATTGTGCCTCAGGAAATGCCGTGTGTTTGTCATAGAGGTTTGTCGTATATGTTTCTTCAAGATGTTTCATTCACTAAAATGTTCTATTGTCCGATCGGCTATTTAGCCTCACAGAAGAAGCAAATTGTTCTTCGTTGGACGTAAACCTCTTCAATGTGAAAAATGATAGTCATGAAAAAGTACTGATTTTTTTATCATGCTAATGACAATTACAGCTAAAGACTTGAATTTTGATCTAAGTGTCATTTTCAAAATTTTGAGATAATATTTTTTCCCCGAGAACCGCTTTTTAAATCATAAATACTTCGTATTAAAAAGAATAATTTAAATTAAGCCTGAATACAAATTGAACAAGTGATATCTTTATTAAATCTCATTCCAATTTAGAAGTTTTTTAGTTTTTAAATCTTAAAATGATAACCGATCAATGTCTACAGAATCAAATGTAAATAGTGATCTAAGTTCCACAGGGGTAGTGCCAAAATGTTTTTTGTAAAAAAAACGGTTGGTTTTGAATATATGACACGCTGTTAATTTACGCAAAAAACTCGGGTAAACACAACCTCAAAACAAAGCAAGAACGAAGCTAAAAACACAACATCGCTGTTTGCGCCCAGACGGCACTTAGATCATAATTCACAATTTGCTGCAGGACACATACAGATCACGAATTCTTTTTGCAATTGGCATTTGGCAATGAACTACTACACTCAAGTTTGGCACTTAGATCAGAATATACCTCAAGTGGCTTTACCCACAGACCATAATTCCGGTTATAACTCGAAAATTGAAAATTGAAATGGCACTTAGATAAAAATTTACTTCAGAACTTCAACTACAAAAGTCCTTCTGAATAATTTTATAAATAGTAAATTTGTCAAAAAATGTAAATTTAATTTTCAATGTAAAATCAGTTTTTTAATCTAATAATGGAAAATATTTATAAAATGATTAGCAGTGATTGAGCACGCAATGCCAGCCACGCAAGTTGAGCGCAGATCGCGTGCGCCTGCAAAACTTCCCATGAATTTAATCAATTTGTGTTTCATTCAAACTATGTGAATTTATTCTCAATTAGGAAGGTAATAGTTAAAACTTTTAACAAATTATTCCATTTAGAAAAATACGTTACATATGACCTCATGTTCACACCATTTGTAGAATTCCGCAAAAATGTTAACTTTTTTGTCACTATACTATCGTATAAATTATTAACATCAACTTGAAATAAATGAACATCTACTAAATAATTCAATATCCCATTTTTATTCCAATTTAAATATATGTAAGTTTGGTCTCATTATTATATTACAAAACAAAACTCGTAGGAATACGTGATATTTCGAAACCTTTTTCTCCTTAGTGTCATTATTACATAACAATTACTCAGATTTTTTAAAAGTTCATGACATCATTTAAAGATCTACAATTGAATGAATGTAAGCAAAAAATATCCAAGGCATAAGAATTAATATGGTTGAAAATGGTTTGGAAAGTTGAGACATATCTTCAAATTTTGAGAAGTGAGGATGCATGTCGAAAATTATGTGTTTGGGATACTACTCTAGAAAAGTTAGAAAAGTTCTTCATATTCTCTACCAGAAAAATAGATATCCCCAAAAGCATTGATTCCTATCATTCGATTCTAAGTCTCGAATACTAATGTAATTATGGTGGTTTACAAATTCTAGAACTCTTCAATAACTATTCAGTGCGAACACGTTTGAGTTGAACTTGCTAATAAAAATATAATTGAAATGTTTTACAGTGCTAAAATCTGCTCATGTAGGTTGTAGGGAGTTATGGCAAAGATTCTTAATTTAAAAATGTCATGTGACAGACAATTAACGGTAAGCTAGGAAAGTTTCTCCGCCGAATCAAGGCATACTATTAAAAATGGCATTTATGTTGGTAGCAACTAGATCACTGGGAAACTAGTGAAGGGTACAACTCTCCCAGCATGTTATGATTGTGGTGAGTACGCAATTTACACTTCCGTTTGTTACATGCTGCAGTTCTTGCTACCAATATAATTTCAGTTGCTGTTACTCTCACCAGCCACTGGTGTCTCTGAGAAGAGATTTTACTGGCGCACAGTAATTTTTTTGTGAAAGTGTACCTGTGACAGACGGTTGCTGGATACTGCGTTGTGACATCATTAATCTTTGCATTTGAAAACAATCTCCGAACTTCAAATATTCACTAACCTTTCCTCGCAACATTTAACCTCATACTCACACACGCTTGCTCGCGGTAATTAAAGGTCCTCGGGAAGAAATTCTTATTACAACCAAACGACGAGGTATAAGCATTCATTTTATTATTCCTTTAAAAATGTATTTCCACTTTTCCCCAATTTCTGTATTAACCCCTTACGTTGCTCATAAAAGAAATACAAAATTAATCAACTAATAAATCAACGTAGTTAATACATAAAAATATAACATGACAATGAAATAAATAAAGAAAAAGTGAAACCGTTTGCTAAGTGATTTGGCTTTGTTGGCACTGAATAAATAAATATATGAAGGACCCAAAAATACATTAGATGTTACTCCTGTTTACAAAAAAATTGACCTCCACGTATTAACAATATTCCCAAATTATCAGCCATAGGACTTATCTTGAAATTCAACTTCAGAAAATTTTACACATATTAATACACAGTAGGAGGTTATTATGACATTCATAGTACAGATCCGAAGACAACAAGCTATAGAAAAATGTTCGGCGATATTTAGAATACAAATATTTTTAAAAACGCAATGCCAGTCTCTTTCTTAATCTTACTTATACATTTTCCGTATTCTTCGTTCTGTTTTATAACGAGACGCATTTGTTTGTATCGCAAATTAGGAGCTTGTTCTCTGCTAACGAGCCGAAGGATGTAAGATGCGCACGTACCTGTTTGTGTGGCGGTGGTGGGTGCGTAGGACGTCGGAGCTCCGGAAGGCCTTGGGCAGGTGTGCGCCCTTACCTGCGCGCCGCCCTTATAAAGCCCTCATCCTCCACCCCCTCCCCGCGGTCGCGCCCTTCGCCGCCCACCCCCGCGGGCGGGGGCGGTTTTTTAAGGTTCAGGCAGATACCACAATCGCCGAAGTGGTTCGGAGAAATTTCAGCATAGATTAGAAAAGCCAACATAGCACGGTAGAGAGAACCATATTTATAAAATCCGAATAAAAATGCTAGGTACAGACTTTGTAGGCACTTTGAACGAAAAGCTATAGGAACTGCAACAATTATCAAAACTCTCCCTCTCAGAGTACATCGGCTTACAAATATGTAGCATTCACTTTTTTTAAAAATATAATGGGTATAGTAATTCCACCCATTTACACTAATACACACAATAAACATTTACAATTATTCATTTTCAATACTCAGTTAAAATTAATTAAGCCAAGTTGCAGCCTGACGATTATACAGAAGTACTAATAGATCAGGATTATTACAGTGGAATTCAGAATAATACAATGCCAAATAGCACTATTCGTAGTTGTAGGTACTGTTTATTTAACCAGTTTTATGTTATTATATAATATTCACTATAATTACTACTATTATTATAGGCAAAGAATCGGAAAGGTGAGTACATAATGTCCCATTGTTTCAGTACGGATTTCTACTCTCTAAGATCATTGTTAAAGGTACGAACATAATAAATCTCGAGCAAAACCACGAATTCCATACGAAGGTAATTTTAAAAGTAAAATGTTATGATCAATGACGTCAAAAGCTTTTGATAGATCTAAAAATATTCCAATAGGTGCTTCGTTTTGATCCGGAAATTCATCTTAATCGGCCGGTTTTTTTTATTTTTTAGTCTACCTATTATTTTTAGAATTTCATTGGAAGAAGTTTCGGAAACGAACCTCGTGTCAAAAATGTTCAGAGAAACATTTGAGGTTGCATTTTGTGACTAAAGACCCTTAGTGTGATTGGCAGCAATTCTCTAAAAGTATTGGTTCAAGAGACTAGCCTCTGTTGCCAGATCGTTCACATTTCTATAATTCTCTTTAAAGACAACATTCCTTACAACATTTCTAGATGATTTGGTCGATTTTTTTACTATATTCTAAACTTCTATTGTTTTATTATTTGAGTTCAAAATATTCTGATCATGTCTCATGATTGTGGCCTTCCATATAACATTTCTTAGCAATGGCTTGTATTTTTCAAAGTAGAGGAGGAAATCTTGAGATACGTTATGATACTTAGAAATGAAAGAGAGAATTCGTTTGTTTGTTGTTGTTTTTTTGTAATCTAACCGAACCGGATTTCTTTTTACTTCAAAAAGAAGGCATATCCAGGGTAAAGAGGGCGTATGGTAACCCTATGGGGTACTGGACTGTTTTCTTTCCCTCCATGATTCGAGGGCATTTTGTCTTGTATGGCGAACTGCAGAGAGAAATTGTCTTAGAAGGCGTGTTAATTGTGGAGTTTTTTTTTTTTAAATACTGACACCAAAACTCTAGTTTAGCTGGTATTAAATATCTCCCTACCATTAAAATGTGTTTCTGTTTTCCTTCAGTGCTTTAGAAAATCAAGGGAAAATGTTCTCATTTTTCTACATCTCCACATACAACTTCCTGATCCTGAACCACGCTAAACACTCTCAACATTATTTACGGCATCAAAATAGCCTTTTCAACTCCACTTACTTCCGTCTAATTTTTTCAATTCCAGAGATCTCTGCCAGAGGGTTGCCAGGTCTACCTAAGTTTTTGATGAATTCGCCGGGAATACCGACTGTACCAGGAATCTTAATGCTCTTAATAGATTTAATTGCGTTATCTACATATTTTATGATGATACATTGATCTAGGTATAAGCTAAAAGCGTGAATATTCGTTGGTGGGAGATTCATGACTGTCTTTTCTACTCAAATAATAATAATAATAATAATAATAATAATAATAATAATAATAATACAAAAAATGGATTGAATTATATATTTTTTCAAGTCCTTGGGTATTTAAGTAAACCAAAGAGACCTCTACATAATTTTATTTTAATTTGTGCACGCATAATTAATAGTACTCCAATATTTTTATACAAATAATATTTCCCGAATATCATATCTGATCCATACATTTTGGTACGTAAAATTGAAAAAATGCCGTCGTGTTCCGATTAATTTTTGGTTTCCAAATTTAGAGCATTAATCGATTCTACATATACCCGATATTACATTATGAGCCCTAAAAATAACCCTTCTTCTGAAACAACGTATGAATCAATAATATAATTCGTCTTGTAACATACAAATTTAGGAGCACAGGGGACAAGTGCAGCACTCCACAATAGAGCAAGACATTTCTTTAAACAACGAAAATCGTCGCAATTGAACCCATCAATTCACCACGCTCTCAATACCCACAACAGAGGCCGCACCGAAAACAACAGCGGCTCCTTAATGACGTTCCTTTGCAAGACGGAGTCCCTTACGTACTTCTGAAGGAGCGCTCTCGCTGCCCCAGCTTTGCCTTCGTCTGCACCAATTAAACACGTGCAGAACACGTACAATGGTTGTTACCAAAAAAAGTATTTCGCTTTTTACTTTCACATATACGTACGTATATACGGAGTAATATAGTACGTAGATGGGAAGTTATGTGATGCTGCAGAAAATTGATTTCGAGATTTCAGTGGAAATACACGTTTTAAAGTACCCTGATATAAAAAATGTTGTTTTTTTTCAAAACGTCCGTCTGTCTGTCTGCTGTATATGAACAACACTAGAGCCTAAACCATGCACATTTAAGAAACCATTGTACTTTTGACGTGGGTCGAAACTCTGCAATTTTGAAAATCATTTATTAGTTTTTGAGGGTACTTAACATGAAGCCCCTGGGTCATTTTCCACATTTTCTCTAAAACGGCTACAATTTTTTTCTTTAAAGTTCTTTTTGAAGAATAGGGTAAAATACACTTATAGAGGTGGCACAGATCCGATTTTCATGGTTAAATCTGAATTTTCGAAAATTTCAAAAGTTTGAATTTTTTCGAGGTCTTCCTACAACTACAAAGTTAAAAATAGAGATTTTTCCTTCAAATAAAATTTGTTCTCCATAGTGAGTTCTTTTGTGTACAGTGTCATGTACAGCTTTTTGAAAATTTTAGTAGTTTTCGCGTAATAATGCGTGCAATGATGCAATGCGCTTTTAAAAGAATATAAAAACAAGATTTTCTCTAAAATGGCACCAAATTTTTCTTTTAATTTTTGGTAAATATAGTGATAAATTTACTCTATAAGATGACATAAACGCTATATTGCTCTATTCTTTTGTTTTTTAAAAATTACAAAAATGTAATTTTTTAACTTGCCTCTCATGTTCTTAATATTTATAATAGCGGCAATTTGTTTACATTATTGTATTTATGAGTACATGTGCTTTAAAAAATGACATGTAAGTTCTTTCGGAAACTCAACAATTTTCTGTGAACACTAGCACAAATCTCAGCTTTCTCAGAGACGCTTAAACACCATTTCCTCAAAAACGGCTCCAAATTTTTTCTTCAAACATTTTTAACTGGTAGTGGTAATTTTACTCTTTAATATGACGTGAAGTTAATTTCCGTGTATTTCTGTGATGTTTTTTTTTTCAAAAATTACAGAAATCCAAATTTTTTGAAATTTCTCTCCCCGTTGGTATGCACTTTCTCCTGCAATTTCGTAAATTATTATTGTATTTGTGAGTTAATGGTCTTGAAATATCAAAAATTACGTTTTTTTGAAAACACAAAAACTTTCTGAGAAAAAGAGCTTCATTTCGAACTTACTGTAGCGCTAAAACGACAGTTTTTTAAAAATGGTTCCACATTTTTCAAAAAAATTGCATCTTGGAGTGAGATTTTACTTTTATTTAATAATCTTAAAATAATATTTCCACTCTACAATTAAAAAACCGAAAACTTAAGAAAATGTCAAAAAAATGTATTTTGGGCGGCAATAGATGACAGCAAAGATTGTGTAGCAAGTTCGAATAACTAACCGAAATCAAAGGTAATAGAAAACCAATACGGGAAGGTCTGTACCATTCTGTAGCACCAGTAGTTAAAATTGGCGCGAAGCTTCTTCTTCGCCTTAAGCCTAGTCGAACCCAAGAGCGTGCATTTTGGATTTGCGCACCTCCGAGATTACAAAATTCTGCCGAAATCAAACATATGATTCTTCCAAAACCGAGCGGCGTAAAAGTATCTGAGCCAATGAAACTAAACGCAAACCAATACAATGTAATTCGTTTCTTGTTAGATAGAGAAAAATAGAAACACAGAGCTCCAGCTGTGACGTCATTTCCAATTCAACGACGTTCCGGCGATGGCCACAAATTCTAGAAATGTATAGCTTCTCTTTCAAGGAGTTCATTGAATGGTGTAAATTTCGAAGTGAACTGTTGAAAGTGATTTGCTAAGGAGAAACTGTATGACTTAAGTGGCAAATTTTCTCACCCTGTCATCGCTTGTAAATTTCTGGGCATCGAATAATATATGCTAAAATTCTGTATTTACACATCACATGGATTCACGTCCCTAGTATTTAGAAAAGCACAGACGTCATCGCGAATAAAATAACTATTTTCCTCTCGATGGTTAATGCAATAAAATTATGCAATTAGATATCGCGAAAATAAATATGAAAATTACAACAACAAATATAATTGAGGAAAAAATTTAAAATCACTAGAAGAAAGAATTCGAGAAAATCTCCGTAATTTCGGAAATCTCAGCACAGTTGCTGCTCGCGTCTTCGAGACTTGATGGTTCACAAAATTAAGACGGAGTTTCACAAATAATGTGGCCGGATAGCTCTGTGGTGTTCGTCAACGACCAAAGCAATTCGCGAGACACTGAGGATCTATAGTCTCCCTGTGCACTTGAATGAAGCCTTTAAGATTTAATTAAAGGAGTAGGTGGCGCCAACCCCGTCACTGAAGATATGAAGCGTTAACATTTTCATTTTTTTGTATTACGAACAATGATTTTTGAAATTTGCTACTGA